AGGGAGAGCTTCACGACGTTCCTGCGTGTGAGTGGCTCGGGAAAAGGACCGGCGCAATGGAGCCTGGATCTGAGCATGCAGAACCAGGAGACCGGCGTGACGAGAAAACCAGGAGAGTGCACGCAATTTCTTTGGTGGCCAAGCCCTGGGGGCTGGCTTGGGCCAGCAACCAGTCCGGGAGCACCCCCGGAGCAGGCAGGCACGGGGAGCAGGAGTAAACCACGCACCAGGCCGCCCAACCGGACCAAACCGCAAAGTACTTGCTAAGCGTGCTGACCGAGAAAGAGACAATGACCCGGACAATGAGAGCCTCGGGTTGTGAGGAGGCTCGTGTGTGGACGTGAACAACGCAGAGTTTTCATTTATGAGGGTGAGCCACGTGTCACGGAGCTTCTGCATGGAAGCCTCGGCCAGACTACGCATGGATGAGGGGGCCTCAGAGGGAAGAGGAGCCGGAAGGGCCGAAGAACCCGGAGAGGGGAAGGGCGTAGTAGCCACCACCTCTGGAACCCGAAATACGGGCGGCAGGGAGGCAGGGACGGCCGGAAGAGGTTGATAGACTGGGACGTGAGGAGCCAGCCTGGCAACCGAGAAAACCATCTTAGGAGGGCTGGCCTCCCGGGTTCGTAAAGGGAGGGATCCGAGTGGGAGACAGACGCAGAACGGAAGGGAACCGAAGGCGCAGGAGTGGGCCGGAACCTGAAAAAAAAGGCCGGAGTGGAGCACAGGCGGACGGTACGAAGGCCGAAGCCCAAGGCCCGACCAGCGGTTCACGGGGCCAGCCGGAGAGGGTTCCACGAAGTCAATAGATACCCTAGCCCAGCTCGAGAGAGAAGAGCGATCCGGAGAATCAAGGGGAGGAGACGGCCGAGGCGGCCACGGAACCAGAGAGAGCGCCAGATGCTCAGGGTTCACGTCTGCGTCAGAAGATGAAACCGGACCGGAGAAAAGAGAGAGGGGGGACCTGGACCGCGCACGCGGAGGCCGAGAGCCCGGAGAAATGGCACCAGCAAAGGCCGGCGAGGCAGGCAGAAACCGGACCGGAGAGGCCGGGGCAGAGGCTGCGGCGGAGCGGCCGCTGCCCGAAACCGGCGAACCACGCAAACCCTCACGCCTGGAACTGGCAGAGCCGATTCCGTGTCCGAGTCGTCGGCAGAGTGGGGTAGTCGGAGAAGTACCTGGCCGAGACAGACAGATCAGCTACGGGCAAGAAGTCGCGCTGCATCTTTTGCCCAGAAGGGGTCGGTAGCAAGCCCGGACGCGGTCGCAACACCGCACCGGCTGCAAGCTAAGAAAACCGCGGCTCCCGTAGATAAACGTGACCGGAGATATAAAAGCTCAATGGCGAAGGGTTTTATCTACGGGAGGCCCCGTGGTGAGGGGGGGAAACGTTCGCCGCGGAAGTAAAAGCCGAGAGACCGGTCATCCGTAAGACCGGCATTCAGAAATGAAAAACCGGTAACGGACAGTCTGTACAAGCGAGTCCAGGCTTGATCGACCGGATTGGGCAACCAGCGGCCGGACCCGTCCCCGGTAAGAAGCCAGTCGACTTCCCAAGCCATTGCGGCTGAATCAAAAGAGACCGGATCGCTAGCTGAAGACCAGTCGGACAGGGAGTCATCCGACAAAGCGTGCAGCGGAACCGGAGGGGAGACCGGAGAAGCTTCCGAACCGGAGGAGTCCGAGTCCACCGGATCACATAGTCATGCCGGATTGTCCCGGGGCCTCTTGATTAAGCAGTTCCAGCAGCAGTGGTTGCTGTGACCGGAGTGTTCGCCCAAGTGGACCGGACGAAAACACAGCCCGTAACACTGACGGCTGCGCCAGGTGGCATTTGTGACCAGAGCGGAACACGGATGGGTACAAACCCCACGGACCGGTAAGTGGGCGAGCGGACCGGGAGGGTCCGGGATATGAACCCACCAGCGGAGCTGAGCCCTTTCTAGGATGAAAAGGTCAGCGTACGGCCAATGGTCCGGCCGGGTAATCTCATGTTGCTGGCCCTCGATGTCTATGCCGAGGCGCCAACCCTCCGAGCATGTCCATGGAGGGTTGGCCCGGTGACCGGAAATGTCGCCGCCCGGAACCCAGTGGCAGCTGTCGGCGCCGGTGATGGACCGGTGGGGCGCGGCCGGGGGCTGGCGGACACCGGGCGGGGCGGAGCCTTCGCCGGTGCCGGAACCGGAGCTTGGGCCGGGAGCCTGTGGCGGCGTAACCGGTGCCGGGACAGGGCCACCAGCAGGGAGGCGGGTCAGCCGGAGAAGTCTCGGTAGACCGGGCTGCGGACCGGGCCGCCAGCAAGTCCACCAGGGCACCGGACATGCAGTGCTGCAACTGCCCTAAATTGGATGCATTGAGTTGTCGCAGGGCTGTCTCAAAGTCATCCCGGCTGGCATGCTCGAGCACATCCAAGATCTCCCGGACGGAAGGGCCGGGATTGTTGGTGACCACCGGACCGGACGGAGCGGGTGGGCCAGACGGGGACCGGCTGTCCGAGGGGGAGTGGCGGGCCATGACCGGACCGGAGGTCAAGGTCAAGAAGGCAAGGAGCACGAAAAGAAAGGCCCAAGGCCAAAGATCTAAGCCGAAAGGACCGCGGGCTGCAACATGTACATGAAGACAGCAACGGCCAGAGCTTAGCAGAGGGCAACAGTGACAGCTCAAAGAATGTCCTGCGCAGATAACATGTCACAGCTGGGAGGGCACTGGATCCAGGTCGTCCGGGCACGGAGTGGCCAGAGACCTAGACGGGCCGAGCCGGACAACGAAGCCTTGCGGAACAAGACTGAGGACCGGACCGTAAATGGTCCAGATCAGAATCCTGGCAGAGCGACCAAACAGTGAAAGAGAAACAGATCGCTGATCAGTCCTCGTCCGTAAGTTGGTCCAGATGCTCCTGCATGATGTGAATAACCTGGCGGGACCAGGGAAACATCAAGAAGAAGCAACCAGAAGGGGACGGAGTCCCCAAAGGAAACACAGACGTTGTCTGACCTGCCCGGGCAGCGGAACTGACCAGACAGGTGAATGTAAAAGATCGGCCTGGCAGAGGCAGATCAACAAGCCATGGCGAAGGACAGCTATGGAAACCGTGGGGCAGAAATTACGGAGTTACCAGAAAGGAAAAGTCAAAATTGAAGCAGACCAGTAGACCCAGCGAAAAACTTCAACCCGGAACGGAAACCAAGCCGTCCTGAGCCAATGCTGCAGGGACGGCAGTATTCCGTTACGTCCAAACCAAACACATACGATCATGCTCGTGACCGATCATGGGGCCGAAATACCTTCTTGCACCTGCAGTGAGGAGTCAGTCGTCGGCCTGCTCGTGTGTTAGGAAGCATACCACAGGGAAGAAGGGTCGGCGGGGTCCAAGGGGGACCAGCGGCCACTGGGGCACAGATCAGTCCCAGTGCGCTTCGGCGTTGTCTAGTGAACGCAGTGCACGGTCTTTTATGTTGTGAGTTGCTCTAAAGCGAGCTGCAAAGGGAGGGTGTTCCCCGTTAGGGGCGTCTTTCGCTTCAAGTGATGAAAGTAGGGGCGGGTACCCACAATGGCCTCAGAACTCTTTTCGAGGAGCACGAGCTGTGCTGGGATTGGCCGGATTCCGTGCTGGATGCATGGGTACGGTCGGTGCGGTCACAGCTCGGGCGAAGACCAAACAATCTGGAAGATGAACAAGCAGCTTTGGTGAAGGGTTTGTTGCCAGTTGCTGAGCAATTGTTCCAGTTACAAGCGCTTTCGGACGCGAGTTCTGAGGTCTGGAATGATCTAATGTGGGAGGTATTGCAGGTTTGTGTTGCCAAAATGCAATCAGCGCAGCGGTTTCCATTCATGATGGAGGCAGAGACTGATGCATGGGAGGAGGTTGTTGCATCGTTGCTGGACAGATGCGAGGGAGCGACCCGTGAACACCGGCTTGCACGTTGGCACTTCGCTTGCGTGGCCTGGATAGGAGCCGCGTTCATAGGTATGCTCCTTTGGGTTTTGCCCATGTCCGGTCGTCGCACCTTGACGAGCATCACCGTCGCGATATGCCTGGTGGGAATCGGAGAAGGGTGGCGGCGATATGGTTTTGACATTCCTTGGGGCAGGACGGTGGACTTACTCGGCAGTGAGCGGCCTCCTAGCCTGCAACCTATCCCAAATGATCATTCTGGGGAGAGCGATGCCCGCCCTGTTTTGCTTCAGAAGACAGCACCTACCAAGTCAGCTGATGACTCCTCGGTGATACTGTTCCCAGCATTGGGCTCGCTGGTGAAATTCAGTGAAGGTCCACGAGTGTCTGCAGTGAAGAATAGCTTCGGAGTTGTGACAGGGGTCTCCTCGGTGGATGTGACCGTCACTCCTGCAGGTGGCGCGCGTGTGGAAAAAGTGCGGCCCGATGATTTTGTGCTCACCTCGCTGGACGAAGTGCCCGGAGGGGAGGACGAGCGCAATCGGCTGGAGGAGTTGATGTTGATTCACGTCCCCACTAGCATGAAGCAGACCGCCGAACATTTAGCACCAGACCCGCCGCCACACTATGCTCCTCTTACAGAAGGCACTCAAGCGCAACACCAAGCCAAGTCCATCAAGGAATTATTGGTTCTGTGGCATGGGAAAGCGAGCCTGCAGCCTACTTGGGCGAGGTCTTCCTGGGCCGAAGTGGGAAGGCGCGAACCATTGGAACCGAGAGTCCGGACATTATCATTGCTGCTCTCCCATGGCTACTTGGGGAAAGGTGTGGGCTCACCTCCGCGAGTCAAAGAGTTGAAGGAGAAGTTGGAGGAATTGTCAATCGCCGGTGCGCTCGCCCACACCAGGAGCGCCTTCCGCGACCAAGGCGAGGATCCGTGGCCGGAAGAAGCAGGTTTGGACACTTGGGGGATGCTGCGCTTCCACCAGATCTGAAACGAGCTGGACCAGAAATTTACACGTCGATGAAATCAGCTGGCGTACGTTGCGTTCGGGATTGGATCAACAGCATGTTTTCGGTGGACCAGAGACAGCATCCCCAGTACGTGGAGCTGTTTAATCTTGCGTCCTTGGTGGATTTCAAAGTCAAGGACGCGGGCTCACCAGCTCAAGTACTCAGCATGATTGGGCAGTGCGATACTTGCGAAATCGCACTGAGGAGATTGGCTTCTTGGATTCACGAGAAGAGGAAGGGGGACAAGGATGCGGCTCAATCGATGTTGGCAGTGAAGCCGTCCTCGTTCGCCAGTGACATTGCGCCTTCCTGGCTAGTCACAGAAGCTTCAACATACAGTCAGAGCGAGTACAAGCGCAAGGAAAGACCTCGTGCTCAGTGGACCGACGCCACCAAAGGCAAGGGCAAGAAAGGAGAGGACAAAGGAAAAAAGGGCACGTCGGGCAAGGGGCCTGAGTCCCCCAGAGTTGATGGGAAAGCAGCCTCGGGGACGAGCAAGGGCAAACCCCGGGGCGCGCAAACGTTCCCTTGCAAGGCATGCCACCAAACCATGATTATGAGTTGCTGCAGTGCTATCTTGGGTGTGATGCAGCAAGCTTTCCTTTGCATCCACCTTCATGCCCGCCCGAGCCTGAGGGCCGCTCTCGTCGCTTACGGCAGCGATGGGCTGCAAAGCTCGCTTTATGGAAAATTGTGTGCAGGTGGGTGCATTTTCTGAACTTTTTGTACAGCAGCAAATGGCACGGGTCTCAGAGGCACTTTGCGTCTGACAGCAGCGGGAATGCCCATCATGCAGCTGAAGACGTTCTCCTCCGCCAGCTTTGGCGCAAGGCCAAGCTTGAGCGTGAGGGCCGCCGCCAGTATCGCGCTGATGCTGGGACAGGCGGCCGCAGTGCAGCCGCCGAACTTGTGAAGAATGCTCGATTTCAAGACGGTTATTGTCGGATTTTGAAGTCCCCATCACAGGTGCCCTTGTGTGCTTGGCGAGTTGCAGAGCCCAACGACGACACGTTTGTCGACATGTTGACGGCATTGCCCCAAGTGGAGGCGGATTTTTATGCAAAGGAGGGTAATTGCATTGATTGGACCGGTAAATCACGCGTGATCCAGAGCGAACTTGAGGAGCAGTATGGCTTTGTAGGGGGGAGTTACGACGAGTACGTCAGGTATTTTCATCGTCAAGATTTACCCCAGAACATGTGGACATGGAGAAAGTTTTCCGATGTCAAGGCCATCAGTGGGTTCGCTTGCGTTCCACAGAAAGACGGCAGTTCCCAGCGCAAACTCTTGATGTCCTGTTCTTTCAATTATTTGCTGACAGATGTGGAGCAGCGCTCCCGGCTTGGAATGGCCGGCGCAGGAGCGTTGTCCCGTGTGCATTTCTCAGAGGAGAAAGTTTCAGCAGCTGTTTGCGACCAATCCAATGCTTTCACAAGTTTTATGGTTCCCTCTTGGTTTCATGAGTACCAAGCGACACCCCCTGTACCAGCAAAGGCTGTTTGGACGTTATTGCCACGTGAGGTGCAGGACACCGTCGAAGAGCATACATGTGTCTGCCCGTGCTACATGAGGCTGCCGATGGGATGCTCGCACTCCGTTCACAAATTGATGTCCATTAACATGCGAATAATAGGGATGACGCTGCGTTCGAGCACGCTTCTTGCACCAGGTGATCGAGCTTTACGTGCTTCCTCTGGAGGTGAGGAGGACAAAGAGCCAAGGTCACAGCAGCGAGACGTGTTGGATACACATGTCGAATTGCAAGGCCTTCCACATCAGACGGAGCAGATGGAAGGCCATGGGCCAAGCTATTCTGCCAATACTGCACCTTTTAGTGTTTGGTCGCTGAGTCGAAACGACAAGGGAGTGAGCGTGAAGATCTTGAACGAGGCGGCAGAGGAACAGTCACGAGTTGAATTGAGCAGTTTTCGAATGGCAGTGTATTTGCATGTAGATGACACGCTGGTGTTGAGAAACGGTGCTTGCGCGGATTTGGCAAGGCCACTAATAGATGAAATCTCTCAGAACATGGAGGTAGCCGGATTTCGAGTGCCAGATCGCAGACATGGTAAGGAGGTGGAAAAGGTGGTGGGGTTTCGTTTGGACATGGACACGGGCACCTTTACCTTGCCAGTGAAACGAGCACGGTTGCTAGAGCGCGCTCTTTTGGAACTTGCTCATGCTCGTTGGGTCGATGTGGATGTACTTCGTGCCGTGCTTGGGGTATGGTCCTTTGGGGCACAACTCCGGAGGGATTTGTATTCCATCCCCTTCGTAGTGTACCGCGTGATTGAGATTTGCGAGGGGCAGTTCGTCAGACAGTGGCCGTCCGTACGTGATGAACTTATTTGTATGGCGAGGGCAGTCACATTCATGGAGTATGAGGGGCGTTCGCAGTTCAGCGATGTCTTGTTCGCAACCGACGCAATGGGGGCTGATGACATTGATTGTGGGGGTTATGGAATTGTCATGACGACAATCAACAACAGTGAGCGACAGTCTTTGCTTCACGTCGGAGAGGCTCCAGGGCTCACAATAAGCAACCTCGACGGCAGCTTAGATGGACTCAGGGATCCCCACAAAGAGCTGAAACGTAGTAAGCCTTTTTGCCGACTTCCGGACACTCTGTTCCACGAAGGCCGATGGATAGAAGTGCTTGCAGGAAGATGGAGGCACTCTGACCACATCACTATCGGGGAAGCACGTGCCGTCACAAAATTGTTGGCATGGCTCAGCCAGGTGCCGTCATTGATGGGACGAGTGCTCTTTTCCCTCGAAGATAACAGACCGTGTGCGTGTGCCATGACAAAAGGGCGCAGCTCTTCATGGGGTTTGAATTTCTATCTGCGCCGACGAACCGCTTACAGTATCTTGTGCAACTTCAAACTTTTTCTTCCATGGTGTCAATCGTCATTGATGCCGGCGGATCAAGCCTCAAGACGTCGGTGAGGCTGCTCCCGTAGACAGAGGTGGTGGGGCAGCCATCTCGGGGAATGCAGTTTTTCTTGCCTGCCAGGCTTGACCCGTCGCATGAAAGTTCCGTGACAAAAGACACCTTGGATCGTTCTCGGCGGGCTGTACGCAAGTTTGATTCCTTTCTACATTCAGAGCATGCATCACCAGGAACAGCTGCGGAGCTACACAGTTGGTTAGTGCGATATCGTCAGGCCGGTAAGCTGACAAGATCGAAGTTCGACCAGACCGTGGCCGCTCTCGAGTTTTTCTCGCCACGCCCACATAAAGATGTAACGGAACGTGTTTTTAAGAAACTCCGCAGAATTGGTGCTGTCTTGGGAACATGGTGATGCTACGACTTGCCAATGACTGATGATATAAACCCTGCATTACCTTAAGGACCCTAAAATATGGGAACTAACTATAGTATATTCCTGATAGTGGGTAAGGCAGGATTCATATCATCAAGGCCCCTAAACCCTAA